TGAAACACAAGAACCTATTACAACATAAATAACAATTTATTTGTTACACAACAGGAATCCAATGCCATACTCGACCTTCATTCTCTCTTCTAACAATAATGAGCGACGTATCAGGTCTCGCATTGAGCACATCTTGTAAAATGTCCTCGTCTATCTCAGTTTCAGTGTCGTCATAAATGTGTAGATTTGTCTCAGGTGGTAGGCCAAACCTACTGTGGACTAAAAATAGACAGCATTTTATGTATGAAATAGAAACAACAAACAAACAAATGAAGTAAAAAAAACACCTTCATTAACAAAGTCTGCAAAAGTGAATCCATCCTGAAGTCTGATAAATTTCCTGGAGTCCTGATATCTAACTTTGATCAGCAGCATGTTTCAAATCTGAGAATGCAAAAAAATATGTCATTAAAGACTATAAACATATACATGGCATAAACCTTTAGATAGGTTTTCTAAAAAATGACATCTCTATGTGAATTTTCTAACAGCCTTTATAGTTACATTACTTATGCATGATTTGTGGAAGATATTCCAACAATTGTGAAATTAAATTGAATGATTAAAGGTGTAGTATGTAAGAGGGCTTTTACACTAGCATTTTTGGTGCGCACCCGGGTTTGATTGATGTCAGAGTTCAGTATATCTGGATGATGTGAACGCTGTCTTCTGAAGTTGGGTGCACACCCGCAAACCGTATCCGAGTCCGCTTAAAAAGGGTGGTCTGGGGTACAGTTTAAGTGAACTCTGGTACGGTTTGCTGCTGAAATAAACGCAAACATACCAAATCGCTGAAGTGAGTCATTATTAATGGCGTGTTATTTGATAAAAATGTGTGCTTGCGTGTGCGTTTCACTCTCTCATTTACTGATGAGTGTGGCTGACTCGCTTCAAGCAGAGAGCTGTATATCTAATTCCTTCTCACCTTCAGCATTCTTTAGAGCATTTGCAGTATATTCGCGGCAGATAGGCGCAAGTGCCTTATGGGGACACTTCATTTCCAGCGATATCGTTGACTTGATTGCACTTGATTGCACAGATACTATTTAAACTGAACTGAGCTGGATGATGACATCACTGAATTTAATGATGAACTGTCTTTAGCTGAAAAATTAATGTTTACTATTGTGATTTTGCATTATTGACACACTATTTTCCTAATGAATGCTGTTCAGTTGCTTTGACACAATCTGTATTGTTAAAAGCGCTATATAAATAAAGGTGACTTGACTTATGTTACAAAGCTTTGGAAACAACACCAGTGGTTGAAAATCAAAAATATAAAAGTGAGGAGAGCAGCACTATGCATTTTGCCGCCTTCTCCTCTGCTGTCATTACTAAGCAACGGTGTAAACAGCTGCTCGTTTGATGACACAAACGAACCGCGGTTCAGACCCTAAAAAATATTACATGAGCAATTTTGATATTAAAAGATATTACAAATGTATACAGAGTAATTTTTTCTCATTATATATTTATTCCCATGTATAAACTATAGTAAATTGTAGTATACTGTATATATTATAGTATTTACAACACTTTGTTAATGAATGCTACTGCATACTGTAGGTATTAACTATAGTGAACTGATAAAGTGTAATAAATACTGTAGTATACTTCAGTTTTTACTACAGAAAACTGTAGTGTATTGTAGTTTAATATACCCTATAGTCGTATAAGATGTACAGTATTGGGTCAAGTAAATTGTTTATATTACTATATTTGTTATATTACCACAACAAATTAATTAAATTACTTTACTATAGTATGGTTCAAAAACACTATAGTATTTACTATAGATTACTTTAGTATTTTTCAGAACTGAATTACCTCTATTGCTCCAGATAAAACTGATTTTCCAGAATTATTGAGGCATGATGCAAAATAGTTTAACTTAAGTGTCCATTGACATTAACTTAATTTGGCAAATGGATTAAGATACGTGATTGGTATAAGGATGCAAACTCCAAGTAGACTGATCCAAGGAAATGTTTCAGTGGGAATCTCTTGTAAAATAACATTGTCTTCCTCTATAATAGCTGTTACTGTATGTTAGCATTAGCATTTGCCTGTTGTTGTGTGAGGAGGTTAGTGTTTCTCTCACCAGTCTAACTCCTAATCTCTCTCTCCAACTTCACTCCTCTGTAGTAGCTGTTACTCTTTGTCTTTTAGCATGTTTGTTAGCATTAGCATTAACATGTCTGTTGTCGTGTGAGGAGGTTAGTGTTTCTCTTACCAGTCTGGCAGCTCCTAATCTCTCTCTCCAGCTTCACTCCTCTCCTTTATAGTAACTGTTACTCTTTGTCTGTTAGCATTAGCATTAACATGTCTGTTGTTGTGTGAGAAGGTTGTTTCCCACAAGCTGTTCATCTCCTCATCTCTCTCCAGTTGCACCCCTCTCTTCTGTAGTAGCTGTTTTTCTTTGTCTATTAGCGTGCTTGTTATAATTAGCATTAGCGTGTTTCTCACCAGTCTGGCGGCTCCTCATCTCTCTCTCTCCAGCTGCACTCCTCTCCTTTATTGTAGCTATTGCTGTATGTTTGTCTGATAACATTAGCATGTCCCTTACAAAAAATAACTGCAGTACAAAGTAGTATAACTGGAGATTTGAAGTATAATGAAGTATATAACTGCAGTTCATTCAAGTTCAACAGCAGTAAAACTGTAGTACAGTGAAGTACAACTGTAGATTTGCAGTATAATGAAGTACAGATTGCATGTGAAGATTTCAGATGCAAAAACGTCTAAGTCTGTCTCATTTATTTAAAGTAGGCTTTTTTTTTTTTAATGTAGACTCCCTATAAAAATATTTGTACAAAAATATTTGCCTATGGAATATTTCACCCACATAGATTAATAGCCTGCATGTGACGAGATCTTCCTTCGTGCCAACAGTCATTGTCCTGACAACGAGTCTCGCGAGTAGCTGAGATTACTGATAACGGTAAATCAGCGTCTTTTCCGTAGTGTCTGCTACAGGATGGATATAAAAGTATAAAATAGGTTTTGGTTTGACAACTTTATTCATATGTGAACTATCACAAGAAAAGCATAGAACTTAAAGTCCGCGTGAACCAGAAGTTGCTGCCGGCTTTATTTCAGTGTAGTGACGTATTTGCAGCTGAAACGGAATATTGAATTGAGGGCGTGGTTTTATTTTTGTGCTCCTCCTCTCTGTCTCTCACTCATAGCAACTAATAATGGTTGGAGGGTATGTTAACTTCGATATGATAATTTGAAAAGTATAGATATTTGGTACAGCAGGGAAGAACTGCAGAATATAATGTCATACAGATATTTTTAATATTATAAAATAAATGTGTCTATCAATGGTGGCAATCAGTAGGCTAATTTCTAATGAAGAGACCAATTTATATGACAGATTTTAATGTAGGCTTTTATTCATATGTAAACATTGTGAGATAGCTAGTTATAATGGTTTTTAAACAAAGTTTTGCTCACTCAAGTGTATTTTTGCTTTTACAGCTGGGTAATTTTGTTGCAGTAGCACGAGATAGCTTGATTTAAAACTTTGAATTGAATAAAAAATGACAAGGAGGCTAAGCAGTTAATAATAAAATAAGAACAAATAAAGAAATGACTAATGATAGCACAAATAAAAAAAATCACGATAGGCCTACAAATGAAATAAATTGCTTTTTAGTTTTTCAGGTAGGTCTAACACAGTAGGGCTATTAAGAGATTTTTTTTTTTTTTACCAATTATCCAAATAATGTTTAATCCTAGAAAGCTATTATTATCAGAGGACACATGAGCATAGCGTTTAGCAGATCAATGAATGAGAGTGCAGCGTTACCAGAGTTGCCCATTTACCACACCTTGTTACAGCACAGTGGTGCTATTGCAAACAGAAACAATACTGTACTACATCCATGTTTCCTGTCAGCTTGATTTTTGAGTGGACTTTGCTGTTCCAATTCGCATGAACGGTATACGAGTGGAGCACTCACATGGGC